CGAGAGAAATTGAAGTAGGCCATGTGACTGCGGTTGATCGATTTGTTAGATAATATTTTCGATGAAGGAAGAAAAGACTGATCGGGTTTAGGTCATCTGAGTCCCGGAGAGACCGAAAAAGGGGAGAGATGGAACTGCTGAGCAAATGAACAGAAAACTGATCTGAGCCGTACATTTGAGTGACGGAAATCATGCGGCTGAAGCGGCTGCAATGCTTGAGCGGGAAAAGATATTTCTACTATTGCAACTAGACAAAGTACCGGTGCGATGCACGGGATACAATCTAGAGTATAATAATAACTTGTTTAAAATTATCTTTATTATGACGATACATATGTAATGTGTAATTATTTTAAATGAAAAAAATTAATTAATAGGGTTTATAAACTATAAACTTGATACAGTAGTTTGTAGGAAAATGAAAATGTAGAATGAGCTCTAGTTGAAAATAAAACAACATGATAGTATGGTTGAACTGTCTGCTTCATTTATTCTTGGGGAGCTTTATAGGACAAAACATTCGTATATATATGTTGCAAGTGCACAAAAAGTAACATAAGTTTTGAAAATTTCTTTATATACTACACACTCCTAATAGATTGTTTGACAATCAAAATAAAGATGAAATGTTAATAAAACATTACATGTCATTAGAAAGATGTTGTGAAATAATGGAGAAAAAGGTGGCACAATTTTGCTTATGTGGAATTTAATCAGTAGAACTCACAATATTGTTGCTAGAACCTCAACTTGGATGAAGTGGATATACATGTGGAGTTAGTGAATGATTTAGTTTATATAGGGAATGAATGAACATGAAAATGCACAATTGAGATTATGTATTCATAGCATTATAATTAAGAAGTGACATCAATTATTTGAATTATGCAATCACAAATTATTAGTGACATCAAATAACAACAAATTTATACCATACCTCTCAAGACAAACTTTCAAACACCAAGCTTCACCATGTTTAGATCATCGTTAAACGTTAAGTGTTGACATTCGATCGTACCATAACATTATTCACATATTGAGGTCTTTTTTTACAAAGTACACTCCCTTCAAATGGTGTAAAATAGAACATGAAATACCATACCTCCCTACAAAGTACACATATTGAGGTCTTTTTTACATTATTGGAGGTAAATTATGTGTAAATTTACCATACTCCCTTCAAATTGTGTAAAATAGAAAATGAAAATACCATACCTCCCTAGTCCCTACAAAGTACACATATTGAGGTCTTTTTTACATTATTCACATGAAATGCGGTGTGGGCGTGTGGCGGTGAAATCTGTTTGATATCTCACGCAGTGGGATACATACTATTGGACATTTTATGAATATTGAAAGGTGAAAGTGACCTCGATGCAATAGTGCTACTAATACTATACTTTAGGCAAAATGGATGTACATGTGTAATAATAATAGTTTTGCTAGTAGTATAACTACAACATACACGGACACAAATAATAACAATTTATAAGTAATTTTTGTATGCATGAAAAATATAACAATAATTGAATGACAATATTCATAGTGTTTTTCATACAAACCAAAAAGTATTTAATGTTTTATTTGTTTTATTTTTGAGCGTTTGTTTTATTTTTGTTTAAGAAAACTAAAAGTAGTGTTTTCAAAGACGTAGAATTATATTAAAAGCACTTCAAAGTATAAAGTTGAAAGCACGACCTGGTATAAATTGGTTTTCACTTTTTTTTTTCAAATTGATAAAGAATACTTCCTCCTCCTAAAACCTTGACAACATTTCTTATTCAATTGTCCTAAAAAAGTGTCATTTTTAGTTAAAGTAATTGATAATTTTAAATGAAACTTATGAAAGAGTGTATTGATTATGGCCATTTTATTAGAAATAGTGACATAAATATAATTAAAATAAAGATGTTTGACAAAAGTTTGATCTCCTATCTTTAGTGATTATATAATAGCTTTTAGTTACTATAATTATATTCAATTTCACACCAAAATGATCATGGTGTTATACTCATAGTAACTTAAGTCACATATTTGTCCATGAGTTTAATTTGAGTAATAGTTAAAAAAATCTCAGTCTACTATTAGTTTTGGAATTATTATTTTAAAAATGATCTTTGTACCCACTTTTATACCCACTTTTGTACCCACCTATGTTTGTGAAGTGTTTTTTTGTCTGTGAACCCCGGTTCATAGACAATATTTTGCACAGACAAAATATTGTCTGTGAATCAGGTTCACAGACAAAAAAAACATTCGCAAACATGGTGGGTATAAGGTGGGTATAAGAGTGGGTACATCAAGCATTGTTGTTGTTATTTATATGGTCGACTAATTATAAATTTTACATAGTTAAAGTGTATTGTTAATTTTGTCATATTTATCACTTTAACCTCTTGCACATATTACTCAATGAGACTCATTCACTCATATTTTGAAAAAATATAAGTGAATGAGTCTAGGCCTAATTACTCTAGGCCCCCAGACTTCCCCTGGAGTAAAAAAAGAAAAAGAAAAAAGGGAAAAAAATATTTACACATATATTCATTAAGAAAAAAGAGTCTTTCTCCCCACAAACATACATGTTAGGATGTTTTCTTTTGGATTGAAGTGTGTTGGTCTGGTTTGTTTATGTTTGATTTGATCTGCTCTACTCTGAGTTGATCCGGTCTGGTAAACGTCTGGTTTCTGTGTATTTTATAACTGTCCAAATCTGGCCTTATCTGTTTAAATCTGATCTGGTCTGTTTAATGCACCAAGCCACCAACGTATACTCACATTTTTTTGCTGTTTACAAACATTATTTGATCTTTTTCCATCATTTGCAATGGAGCAAAAGATTCATTTTTTGGCTTGAGAATATGATGGAATAAAGCAAAATGGCTCACTAAACTGCCTGCGCTTCTTTGTTATGAAGTAGCAGTCAGCCCATGCAATTTTGGACGCGATTTTCACTATGGGTCATCCGGAAACAGTCTCTCGTCTCTCTGTGCTTTAGTACAGAGGTAAGACTGCGTACATCCGACCCCCCCTTACCGCACCGTAGGTGGGAGCTTTTGCGGCACTGGGGTAAATGAAAATGATGATGACAAACATTATTTGATCTCTTATCCCGTTTATTTTTTTTCTTTTGTCACTGAGCTAAGATTCATTAAAAAAGGAAAAGTATCACACGGCTCACCAAATTGTCCATATTTGTTGGACAAACTCTTAAAATAATCTGGTTTCAATATTTGATACCAGGATTTTTTATGAATAATCTTTGAAAAATAATTTCATCATCCCAAGCAAAATCTCAAAAAAATCATCCACATCATAAAATTAATCTCTAAATAATCTAAATAATGAGAATGCTCTTAGGGCATCCTCATTGCTTGGATTATTAAGAGATTAAATTAATGACATGACGCTTTTTTTAGAGAATTATCATTGAGTGACATAAATTATTTTATGAGATTATTTGCTAGAATAATCCGGTATCAAAATATGAATCCGGATTATCTTCAGATTATTTGAAAACATATGTAATACGCCAATGCAGGATCGAGAAAAAAGCGGATTGTTTGAAGATGATGGTTGGGAGGCACAAACGGATTTTGAGATTATTTAAAAATTAATTATGTAACAATATTTAAAAGGTAAGAATGCTACAAAATATTGATTTTTAAAGATTATGAATGGTGATGCTCTTAGAACATCTCCAATAGAATAATGTTCACACTGCATATCTAAAATAAATCATTTACATTTCTCTCTTTCCTTCCACGGTTTTATATAATTTTAATAAAATTTCCAATGCACAATGTGAACGGTGCATATGTCGCATGTGATATATATATATATTGTTAAAACAAAGTTAATTAATTAATAAGTCTGTGAAACAAATGGTCAGAATTTTAAAGAATTTTAAAGTTAAACATATGGTGTTTGCTGATTATGAAACTTCAATAGTCAAATGTTACTTTTTGAACGTAGTAATGCATTCAACATTTTAACTTTGTGTATATTACTCTCCTTATTAAAAATTTCTACACCTTAATGTATAAGCCTCGGCGGACATTACTCTATTATTACGTAATTAACACCGTCCATACTTACAACCTTACATATATGGACACACTGGCGGTACATTGAGAATTCGTTGGGCGGGATTTCATTTTTGGAAGCAAATTAATTTCCAATTCGTTGGTTCATTTTTTTTGCAAATTAATTTTTGGTATCATTAATTACATTAGATACGTAGTTCATAAGACAATTTCCAACGCACTCGAAGTTCTAATTTTGCCCTTCATTTTGGGCGGCAATTTTGCCTCCAAAAGTTGTGCCTGACTGTTACTTTATATTATATAAAGATTATGTAGGATGATTTTGTGGAACTGGTTTGGACCAATTCGGATACTAGTTCTGGTTTGGAATCCAGGTAGTTCGGCCGGCTTTTACCTGCTCAATTTCAGTCAAGTTCGATTCCAGAAATAAATCCACCCCAATTCAGATTGAACCATTCTGGCATTTCTGGGCCTTGTTGGGGATTTGGAAAACACATCATTAAGCGGATGATTTCTAATTCGATTATAGCGGATGATTTCTAATTCGATTATTGATCTCAAGGTAAAACAATGGAAATACCGAATAGAATAATGAAAAAGTTAATTAGATTCTTGCATCACATATTCACCCAATTAAACCTATAAACTAACCAAAAACCTCAAACGGGTACAATGTTACATTGCCCGTGTGGCTATCATGTCAGTATGTCACCCTTCTTAGAGCATCTCCAATGATTCATTTGGATGACTTGCTTGCAATTTTAAAGCTAATAGCTTACCATTACTTTTGATAAAACTAATTCGTCAAAATGAGCTACTAACTTGATCAAGAAGAATTATTAAATATAATATTTATAATAATAATAATTGAAGAAAACCATTGAAATACTTTTTAATTTTGCTTCAAATGCTTGTGTAGCTAATCAAGAGTATCAAGACATAAGGGAAATTAGCTTTCTTCAAAAAAAAAAAAAAAGAAAGGGAAATTACTTTAGACGCGAAAACAATCGTTTACTTAGAAATCTCAAAAGAAGCAAGCGGCTCCCCCAATCAGATCCGAGTCAAAGAGTGTGGAGCTTCCAAAAGAAACCCCTCCAAAAACCCACTAACTCGCTGGAATCAGCCGTCTCCAGAACTCTAGGGTTTAAGATTGGGGTAAAACGCAATGGCGGCGGTCTGGTGCTGCACGGCGGCGAAGCGGTTGGTGGTCGCATCGGAACGGCGGATTTCGTATTTGTCACAGTCGTCTTCAGTTAGCCGCAGCACATCGGCGATGGGAGAAGCGCCGGTCCTGTGCGGCCGAGGGGATAAGAAGACAAAGAAGGGGAAGCGGTTCAAAGGATCGTTCGGAAACTCAAGGCCTAAGAAGGAGAAGAAGATCGAACGCATCAAGGACAAATTGGAGGTCCCTAGGTCCACTCCATGGCCTCTTCCTTTCAAACTCATCTAGTAATTCTATTACCGTTCCATGTTTGTCTCTCTATGTTTTGTCTGTGACGAGAATGAATGTATTGGTTGATTTATTGTTAATTTTGAATGATTCAGTTGAAATTTTCATATAGTTGGAGGTTCATATGATTAGCAAATGATGAAATATGATTATCATATTACTTTTAATTGTTTGGATATGTGGGTTTGGCTGTCCACGGGATAAACAATAATACAATGAGATGTTTCAGGGGGGAAAAATGTACAGGCTTAACCTCCCCCCATTTGGCGAGCAATAATTCCCTTCAAGACAAGATGGCCTCTGTTTTTGGGTATCTATAGTTTCTATGCGTTCCCTTTTTGAATCCCCTGCTCTTTTCTTTGGGTGTATGAGTATCACAAAATTTACTGATCAGTCAAGGATTTGCCTTCTTCCAGCATGTGGAGGTATATCTACATCCTGAGAAATTTTTGCACTACCTAAGAGTTTTATACAGCTGCATTGTCCCTGCTCCTTTTTTTTTGCTTATGATCGAATCAGACATCCGGAATGATTCATATTAGACTACCAGAGACATTCAAATCCCGCCATGCAGGATGTTGCACCTTCTGACTAGACAAGAATAATACTATAGCAGACAAATTCACTTAACTAGATTTTCTATTTCATAGGAAACATTCAATTGTGTGGGATACGTTCAAGATTAGAACAGAACAATAGATTAGGCCAACTCAAGCTAAACCAGATAGATTCAAATTTGACATTAGATGCTATATTTCATGCAAGAAACTTGGCCAGAAACATTTATAAATCATACCCGGATATAAAGATTTAGACCACCAAGAAACATTTCCACTGACTTAGAGCATCAGACCAGAAAGATTTATACTCCTTCCGTCCCACAAAGATGTTCCTGGTTTGACCTACACACATTAAGGAAATAAACTTATCAGGGGGTAAAGTTTACTGTTTGGACACTGTTTGGCACTGTTTGACACTGTTTTGATGTAGGATATCTTTCCATTTAGGGAAAGGGGAACTTCTTTTTGGGACATCCAAAAAAGGAAAGTGGGAACATCTTTGCGGGACGGAAGGAGTAGTAAATTAGACCAATTCGGAAAGGTTTATATCATACAAGAAACATTCAAATTACATCATATTGACCAGGCCAGAAAGCCTGATATCTTATACTCCCTCCGTCCCATTTAAAGGTTCTCGTACACTATTCTCCGGTCAACGTGCATTGTCTTAATATTTTACTTTATATATCGAAAGTTTATGAAATTTAAATTATTTTTTGAAGGTTTTGAAACGGTTTTAATGTAGTTTCTGAATATGTAAATTTTATTTATTAAAAATAATTCTATTAATCACAGGGATCAGTTAACTTTATTGTCAGTCAAACATCGTAAATCGTGTGAGAACCGTAAAGTGGGACGGAGGGAGTATGTTAGATTTCATTGGTTTATTCCCGAGGAACTCACTACTTGATTCATCCTTAATGCCTATCTTGCTGAAATGTTTTCATACTCTATCCGATTAAGAAATTGAGTTGCTCAGGGAGTTTTTGCAACTGCTTCTGCTTAAAAAAGCACTTTTGGAGATGTAAGGAAAAAATGATTAGTAGTAAAAGTTGATAGTGTTTGAAAAAAAAGTGATTTTTGAAAAGTTAAAAGTTGGTAGTGTTTGGTAAAATAAGTGTTTTTTGTGTAATAGAAAAGGGAAAAACACTTTTTACACGCAAGCCGAGTAAAAGTAAAAATTGGTAGTGTTTGGTAAATAAGTGATTGTTTAAGCCGAAAGTAGGGCTGGCAATATCACCCGCACCCGCGGATACCCGCTCAACCCGAACCGAAAATATGGACGAAAACCCGAAAAAGTATGGATGAAAAATGGATGATGGGTGGATTGAAAGAGGGTCCGGATCGGGTGTGGATGAACACTCATCCAACCCATACCCGACCCGTCACCCGCTCCATCCACCCACCCGCTGACCCGCATATAATATATAATAATAATAGTTAATATTAATATATTAAATAGATTAATAGGTTAATAGATAGTTAGATACGTACTGTTAATAGATATGTATATGTAGCATATAAATATTACTGAAATACCTAAAGCCCTTAGCCCTAAATCCCTAATGGCCTAATCCCGTTCAGCACTGCAGCGCCATCAGCGAAGTTTTTGTTGTTAAGTTTCAACGAATTCTTAATTTTGTGTTTTTATTTGTCAATGATTTCTCTTTATAATTTATTTATTTTGTCTCAAGTTTGACCATTTGTATTCACCCGTTACTCACCCGATCCACCCGCTAACCCGTTCACGATGGATGGGTTGGATGTGGATGTAGTTTTTAATGGATGATGGACGGGTGGGTGGAGTATAAAAAATTAACGGGTGGACGTGGATGAGTCTCCACCCGGTATACATCCGACCCGCTGCCACCCCTAGCCGAAAGCTGAGAAGTGTTTTTTTTAAGTTGTTGCAAACACTCCCTCAGTGTAAGTCACTGTTTCACCAAAACATGTGTCATAAACTCTTAGTCTCTTAGAGTGTGTTTGGTAATACTGAATTGGTTAAATATGTTCAAATTGATTAAGTTCTTTCTGAAGTAATTGGAATATGCTAAATTATGGAGAAATGATCAGTGTTCTAAAAGGCCCAATAAGGCGCCGCCTAGGCGGGCCTAAACTCAAGGCGTAATCTAAACGCCCGGCATGCTCAATAGGCGAGACAAAAGGCGCCCAGCCCAATTAATTATCTGGGCGCACCAGTTTACTGGGCTAAATTAGCCGAAGCAAGTGAGGTATGTAGATCACACACTGTCGGCTGCCAAATGACTCCTACTTATTAGCTCTCACCGAAGATTTACTTTCATCCTCATCCGGTGTGGGAAAAATCAAGCAGAAGAAGGAAAGAAATTTTAATTGAAAACTACTTGTGCTTCCTTAGACATTGAACCGAGCTACATAGTCCGTATATTATATAGACTTAAGTCACACATAAAACACAATCTATAAGTCCACACCATCAATTATGCATATTCCAAGTTGGATATGAAATTAGCAAAAAATTACGTAGTGCTCCGTATTATATAAACATCACTACTCTATATCATTGTTACTCTTATTATGATGATCATTGTTATTATCATCAAAACCATCATTCCTATTATTACTAATATTATTGTATCACTATTATTTTTATGGTAATTAGCTGATATTAAGAGCCTGTTTGTTAACCATGATTTTTGGCTTTTCAGACTTATCAACCAAATTTGTTACCAAACACATGACTTTTGATTTCACATGCTGAATTATGTAATAATAAGAAAAAATAAGGTTGAAGTTACTTTTATGGGTATATTGGCTGAAGTTGTTGTAGATGACCATTTTAGCTATTTTTTCATATACTTTTTCTTTAATTAATTAATAGAATATTTTTTCCCACAGGTCAACAGAAACAACCAATACAGCCACTTCAGTTAGAATTTCATAAATTTCAACAGAATCAACCAATGCACTTGATTTGGGTGTTACCAAACAGGCCTTAAATCATTAGAAATAAAACAAGTTACGGCAAAAAAAAAATAATGACTCACTAATCGATAAATCAGATTCTGATTCAATCACTCATATAAAAGCAATATGACTCACTAATCCTAACACGAACAATTATCATCCAAACATGATCCATTCAGATTCTTTTACTTGGACCTTAACCCTAATAACTAAGATAAAGCACTAAACCGGTACAAAATAATATAAAATAGTAATCATAAGACCTACCATAAAATGTAAGACTCAACCCTAAATAGCAAGACTCAACCAATACCCGTGGCGAATTTTAAAAAATGAGTAAAAATTCAAAACGCCTTTTCACGCCTAGGCGGCGCATAAACCCGCCTAGGCTTCAAAGACTTAAGGCTCGGCAGTGCCGCCTCGGCCCGCCTTACGCCTTTTAGAACATTGGAAATGATACTTAAATGTATTTTGTTAATAAAATAAAGAAAAAGTATATGAAAAGTAGCTAGAATGATCCTCCAGAGTAACTTCAGGAATTCAAACATAAAAATAACCCCAACTTTGCTTATTTTGATCGTTACACAATTCAGCGTCGAAATTAAGAGTTACATATTTGTTAAAAATTGATTGATAAGTTTGATAAGTTCAAAAGATGATTACCTAACGGGCTTTTAGACATATTAATGTGCAGTATAGTTGTATTCTTTGCATAATTTAAAATATTAAAATGAAATACAAAATTATTACATTAATTGTATACCATATTAAAAAAATTAATACGTAGTATTAAAATTTATATCACCGTGTTATCTACAACAATATTCAAGCCTTCTTTCCAAAAGATTCCGTGTTATTTACATTTAAATAAAATGACAATGGAAATAATCTATATTTAAGCTTATAAGTTGAGCGACTTTTAATTTAAACTTCTCACTCCAACGGGCCAACGGGGATAGAAACTTAGAGTTCGTTTGATGACTCTTTTTCGGCTTATCAAGTTTATTAGCCAACTTTTTAACCAAACACATAACTTTTGATTTCGCGCGCTGAATTGTGTAATAATAAGAAAAAGTAAGGTTGGAGTTACTTTTCTGGATGTATTGAGTGAAGTTACTGTAGATAACCAATTTAACTATTTTTTCATATAATTATTTATTTATTAATTTTTTTCATAAATAGGTAGAATCAGTCAATACATCCACTTTAGCCAGAACTTCATAAATTTCAGTAGAATCAGCAGATTTAGTCGATATCAGCGTTACCAAATGAGCTCTTAGTTTATAAAAAGAAATTTATTAAATGGAAAAGTAGGTGGTGAAAAAGATGTTGTAATCTTGTTTTCTTCAATAATTGAGAAGAGTTACGTTACATTTCCTTTTCGAGCAAGAGACTACCATTTCGCCCATGGTTAAAAAAATTCCCACCCCTTACAATTTAACTTGACCAAATTTGATATGCACGTGCAAAAAGAAAGTAAAAGAAAGGAAAATAACTTTAATAACATTTTTCTTATTTCAAATGGAAATGAAAATATATTTTAGAACGATTAAATAAGTAACACGGAGCACTAATTTTCCATACCAAAACAAACTTGGATGTGTCTGCTCAAACCTATTTGGAGTTGTGAATTTTATTCAGGACTTAACTCACCGGGCTTGTCCCTCATCTCTTACACGGACGTAGGGGTGGACTCGGGTCGGGCGGCCGGAACCGGCCCGGTCACTGTTTGAATCGGCCCGGCCCGGTCACTGTTTGAACCGGCCCGGCGGCCCGGCCCATGGTCGGTTCGGTTCGACCCGGCCCGGTGGCTACCGGTTCCGCGCTCGGGCGTTCATTTTGGTGAACCGGCCCGACCGGTTCGGGCCCGGTCCGGGCCGGATTTTTTTTTTTTTTTGAATTTTTTTGAGTTTTTGGGTTGGATTGGGTATTTTGGGCCATTTGAGGTGGTTTGGGGTGGAGGGGGAGGGTAGGGGGTTTATTAGGAAAACCCAAAAAAAAAATTATATAGAACCGAACCGGGCCCGGCCCGGCCTGAACCGGACCCGGGGGTTACCCGGGCCGGTTCCGGGCCTCCCCTACCTTGAACCGTGGCCCGGCCGGTTCAAGGCCCGAACCGGGCCCGGCCCGAACCGAGTCCACCCTTACACGGACGTAAATAAAAATGTCAGACTATAAGTCTTGAAAACGAAGTTATTTTCCTTCTTTTAAATCTTATTTTCTAAATGGGTGTACATTCAGACTCATTTCACAAGAAATAATATTTTTTTCCTTATCATCGAGTGTCTAGACTGCCGTATAAATTCTAACATCTTTGATTTGAACTTTTAAGTATAAAATTATACGTAACTTTTAAGTGGAATCAACCCTCGCTAGCCGCTGCTTCTATTTATACAATTAATTAATAGCAAAGCATTAGCCACTTTAAAAAACACAATTAAAAGCTACTTTTTTTTATTTGCATATGTATTACTTGTCCCACTTTATGTCTCATTTGACGATGACACAATTATTAATAAAATGATTGAAAAGGTAAAAGTTGTGATTGAAATGTGATAGAGCAGTTCATATCAGGTCGGCCTGACGAGAACCGTCATCAGGCCGAAGCCATTTGGGGCTCTTCCCGATGGAATTTTTTGATGAAATGTTTTAAGCATGTTCCTCATCAAGTCTAGTTTATACATACCGAATTTCAGCTAAAAATTCAATCGGGAAGGCAGTCAAAACAATTTTATATATATATATATATATATATATATATATATATATATTTTTTGGTTCAAATGAGAACACACCTTAACGTGAGAAATGAGAACAAATCTCATCCATTCAAAATCTAAATCGAGATGCGATCAGCTTAATGGTGGTAAAGGCTATTTCTGTCTAATACATATTTGACAGTTTCGGTAACCGGCAACATATTTATTACCTTCCTACGGTTACTAATGATCACGTAAAGTTATTTTGACACTAATGGAAAGAGTAAGTTCCATATCATATTAAATATTTTATTTTACATTGTCACATCAATTTAGTTATCCAATTATACAAATAAAACATCATTCACTTTTATTCAATTTGTCCTTCAACACGTTAGTTTCCATTTAAAATTATAATTTATTTTATATTCATTTATTTTGCATTAAATAGGAGTTGTGGTGTGTTATATCCTGCCTAATAGTAAGATGGTTGTTTCATGTGCTAGTAATCGGTCATATTTTACGTCTTAACATTTGCATATTTTGCTCACTCATATGCATCCGTACAATTCATTATTGCACTATTGTGTCACTCAAATACAATATTTGGAGCTGTGTGTTAGATACCGGTTCTTGTGCATGATGATTATTTGTTGTGATTTTCTATGTCCATATATACTATGTGCTAGATACGAGTTCTATAATGTATGTACGTATTGTGATGTAGATACTAGTTGATGTGTATTATATGAAATCCTTATGTGTTCAATATTAGTTCTTAACTGTTGTGCGTTAGCTATTGATTTTTGTGGTTGAGATACTTGCTCCGGTGCTTTATATAAAAATTATTTGTGAGATACTTCTTTTCATGTGCAGTAGATATTGGTTGTTGTGCATTTGATACATGTTCTTGTGCGTATGATAGCAGGATATGCTTGTTGTGATTTAATGTATACATATAATACTAATTTTTTTTATAAAAAAATTATATATGCATTATTGGTGTCATATGAAAGATAAAAAAAACTATTTAATTTGATATAATTTTTAATAAAATTGGATTATAATTTAAAAAGTTAAATCAATTTTAAACTAAAACCATTTTATATGTTTTGATATTTTATTTTTACCTACTTTTTTGGAAAGCTTTGTAGCCACCACGGTTGCTCCATTAAATGAATTATTAAAATTACTCTTGTGCCCATTGTTAGTTACACGTCCCACATTCCATTTTTATGAGAGAGGTTACAATGTGAGGATGTCCATCTTTATATTGTGAGCCAAATACTTAATGGCCATTCATTTAATGAGATGGTGGGTTAGGATTTGTTCTCACATCTCACAATAAGGAGTGTTCTCATTAGAACCACTCCATATATATATATATATATATATATATATATATATATATATATATATATATATATATATATATATATATATATATATATATATAAACAATGCAGTTTTCATAGGAAATTTTTTGATTGTCTTCCCAATTGAATTTTTAGCTGAAATTTGGTATGGATAAATTAGACTTGATGAAGAACATGCAAAAAAAAAATCGTCAAAAAATTTCACCTGGAAGGGCCCCAAAACCCCTCGGCCGGGCGGCGAATCCTGTCAGGCACAGTATCGCTTATTTTGGAATCCTCTAAGTCTTAAGAAATTATTCAAAAATAACTAAAATAACTTTCTCAAATCTCAAGTATAAAAACTCCTACAAAATCTTAATTTTTGAGAAAATTACACGCTCCTGAGTCCTGACGGTTTCCTCCTTAAAAAGCTTTTTAATGTGAAATAATTCTTTTATCCTTCTCTTATTATTTTAAACATTGAAACTTTCATCATGATAAATAACTCAAAAGAAAAATGAGATGATAAATAACCATCACAGAGGTACGCTTCATTCTTTTGGACAAAAAGGATTCTTTACCAGGTGAAAGAAACAATCCAAAGGGAAGCTTCATCCTAATGAAAGCAAGGTTTGTCCTTCAGGAAGAAGAGTACAAATTTAAATAAAAAAGAACAAAATTTGTATTCAGAAATTTGTGACGTTTACATGTCTAAGTTTCAACTTATCTAGTTAAATAAATACAGACTTACTGACTTACAGAGTACACGTTTTCTAGAAGATGGGTAAAAAGGGAGCCAAGTTTAAAAAAAAATATTGAACTGTTGAGGCAACACGTTTAATCTGTAATAATATGAAATGTGAACTACTGATGGAAAGCTATAATATTAATAAATTCGCACAAAATGACAAAAAAAAAAGCATGTATGCTCAATAAAAAGTACTACTCATCAATAAGATAAATACATAATCTACAAGTTTTTCATTCTCAAATGAACATACTAGCTGAGCCTGTTGTGGCTATCTTCAATTCTGGTAAAAGGCAGAGGCACAGATAAGCGTGGGATGAAACCATACAAGAATTTTGATATGTACTATTTTTCACTTTTAGGAAGAGAGTTATGAGCTTACAATTGTTGGTTATTTCTACTGGAGCAAATCCAGTAGGTTTGGTTGCACTGGCTGAGATTTCCGTGATGTTGAGCTGGTGGCCCCAAGTTGTCCCTGACTACTTCCCCGCCCTCTACCTCTTCCTCTACTAATAGCAGTAGCCGGGGGCGGGGCAAGCCTGGGTGCGGCAGTTTGTTCACTCTTGTTGGAGAAAATGGAACTGATATCACCCATGGATGCTTTCTCAGAAGCCCCAAGCCGCGAATTAAAGGCTCCACCACCTAAATTTGACATTGAAGTCCCTTGAAAGCTATTGGAGCTATTTGCAGTACTGTTCATAGGACCATACAAGTTAAAAGAAGAGGTCATCGTGCTGCCATTGAGGGGGCCAGAAGAAACAGTTGACCCACTAGGAAGGCGTGGTGGGGGCCAGTTGGAAAAGGGGTCAATATCATCAAAGCTGCCACCGCCGTTTGATGCTGCTCCATTTCTTTCTTCTTGTTTATCAGAATCTACAGATTTATGAGAAGATTGTGGTGGCCATTCCAAATCAGCGGTGGGGTGTGAAGACGGAAGTGGTTGGGTGGTAGAAGCAACAGGAGCCATTTGATTGGTGGACTGGAAATGGGCAGTTGGACGGCTGGCCAATGAGGCTACAGATGATGACGACTGCTGGGCGGCAACTGGAGGTGGTCCTCTTGAGGGAATCCAGTCTTCATCCCATGAAGGGCTTGGTCTCACGGCAGTAGTAGTAAATGACTGAACAGATAGATTGGCTTTATTCAATTGCCCCAACTGCTCCTGGGGGCCAAGGACGCTGCCACGGGATGGTTTTGCATCGGGAACTTCGGAGTTGGATAGTGTCACTCCTTTTTTCTCTTCTATCTTCCTGTATCAGGAAGCCCAAGAGAAATACATAAGGGTTTCTTTACTATACTTTGTTTGTAAACCAAAACAAAGATAAGCGTCCATGTTTTGTTGGAGGGAAGTGGTGGACTAGGGGAGTAAAGTGGACCAGGTATAGAATCCACCAAAGTCCCCTGCTCCATCTAGGCTTAGGATTAATAACAACTATAGCAAAAAAGGTTCTCCATCCCTGTATTTTATGGGCATACCCATACAACAAGACAAGACTCTGGATATCTTTTATTCAATTCTATGATTTTTAATAAAAGTTACACGAGTGAATTTATAAACTAAATCAAAAGTTCTTAACCATAAGTAATGACATGGTTGTTTATTTAAAATGATATTTAAAGAAAAACTACGTTCAAAGATGCAGTTTGACCGATACATAATTACTAGAATGGAACCAAGGGTATCATACTCACTCGTCCCAAAAAAAGGTTAATGTTTGCACTTCTAGAACAAGTCAAACCAAAATATTTATTCTAGTCCAGAGAGAGTATTATTTCATATTTTCCTGACATAATAATTCATCATCACCCCTCTATTGAAACAAAAATAACATCTTTTACAGATATTCTATTCTATAATACTTCCATTTTACTTGCATGTTGCATCCCCTCTTTTGAACAAAACAAAGGATAACAGTGTCAGACAGAGCCACAGAGGGGACTCACCTGAGAATATCCTTGACAAAAGCCATATATTTCGCAAATTGTTGAACATTTAGTTGCTGGGAGATAAGTAGAGGCACAAGAAGCGGAAGAACATGCTCCGTTGCAAATTCTATTCCACACTGGTGAGAAAAAACAAGATTAGAATACTACGAAGTACTACACATAAATAAAACTATTGTTTCTTATATAATTGATTGAAGTTATAACCTGTTTTAAGATAGAATTAGCAACACCAAGGGTACACATTAAAGTTGGGGCAGAACGATCAACAGCAGTACACCGTTGGATTGTCTGCAGTATATCCAAAACTGATTGCTTATCGAGCATGTTTATCATATCACTCAAGCATAACAACGCATTGACTCTTACCTGCAGTAAAAAGGGTAATATAGTTATTTCCAAATAAATAAATGTTTTTAATATTTTTGTCATTGCATTAACCTCTTGTTTGGTTGGGGGGGGTCCTTTTTTTGGGGGTGGGGGGTGGGGTGGGGTGAAGGAGTTATGTGTGTGAGCTTGGTTGCGGGAGTTGAGAGATAAGTGGAGCTACAAAATCCTTAAAGCTCTTCTTACTGACTCTCTTGTAGTACACTTTTGGTACTAGACTTTGAGTTTTACCAATTTCAGACTTTCAACTATTGTGAGTTTTACCATTTCTACCATATTTTCCAAATTCCTAACTCCTCTCCACTCCTCTATTGAAACAAACCTAACTCTTCTTAACCGCCCTTATTTTCCTCCTCCCATCCACACTTTTGAATGAAACTACGCATAAAAGTTAAAAGAAACAATTTCTCAAATCATTATTGCCGAAACACATCAAATAGAAAAAACATACAGCAGCTACAGTTGTTTTAAGTGCCAACCCATGAACACGAGGCACGACTGCTTGTTTTACCAACTGCAAAGAACAAATAAAAATGCACATTAACTTCTAATCTTAATCCTAAGGGACTTAATAACGCCTAAACTCTAAAAGTGCATTTTAAAAAATCATAAGAAGCACGAAGATTGCAACCAGAGGTGACCTGGGAGTTGAGTTGCTTAGCAAGGGTCACGGTCTTCTTTAGGGCTTCTTCTTGCAAGCGTGGATCAGAGTCATCGTAAGCCCGTACAAGCATTGGCAACACATGCGTCACTAAATGATCTTGACTGGCCTATAGCATAAGGGCAACCCCAAATCAAATGAATACATAGTAAGTGGTGGTGGACTGGTGGTTGTTCAATTAACAAGAATTTGTAAGATAAAATCTGAAGGGCTAAAAGAAAACAAAATTCACATTACAACTCATCATCTCTAGTGATGCTATTGGGTACTCTAATGAATACAAAGACTGCTTCAGCTCCCCCATTTTTAAGCCAATAAATATATTACCTTGATACTGCAGGTCTAAGAAGGGTAAAATAAATAAAATACCCTAAACTTTGCATATGTGTGATATCTCTACCCCAAACTTGTCCACATTGTATAAATATCTCCTACTTTGTAAAATTGAGATATTTATGCCCCAAATCTTACCAAACCATCTAAGAAAGCACACATTTTTTGGGGAGTCATGCATCTTTTTTTGCCAACTAAATCTTATTAACATATTTTAATTAGAGAAATATTATTTGTTAACTAAAATATGGTATAAAAAATTTAAATAAATAAAATTGGGGGAATTTTTTAAACTAGGACAAGTTCAGGGTGGGGAGCTCACACCAAGGCAAAGTTTGGGGTCTAAGAATGTATTCTTGGCAGTTAGCAGTCTTCTCACACACAGATCAGGCAGTTAATAATATTCCCCAACCATGTCAAATTGAAATATTTTAAAGATGAATTTTTAATCTTTAACAGAAAAGAGAAATTAACTGTCATACATCGGAAACAGAAATAAGTCTCTCTCCATCAACTCTTCTTTTATTAACGTATATTTTCCCTTGATACCTACTCTATTATCTACTCCATCAATCTCTCATATTTTCAAGTTCACAGCTAACCTTTTATTTAATATAATAACATATTAAATTCATTTTCATACAAACCAGCGGAGTCAGCACATTCAATATTTCCAGCCACGATACCAGGAACTCAGCTCATTCTATTAACGAGCTCTATGATCAAATAGTCAGAATTAAATTCTAGATGTTCATACACAAGGATTATTACATCACAACCCATAACATTTAAGAAATAAATAATTAAATTAGTGCAATAAGAATCATAAATTGATTGAATTTGGAGCCCTGCTATACTATGAAGATGAGAGGAATTAATTAAATGATGAAAGAAAGGGAAGGCAAACAGTTAAAAAAGATAGTGTGATAGTTACATACAGAATGGAAGAATTGATGGATGGACAAAGGTTCCATTCAGTTTGGAATTTGGGACATTTTTTGTTTTTAAGCGGTGGTCAGGGATATGGTTTAGAAGAGTGGATAGAGTAAAAATTAATGATAAATATGAGACATGGAAAAAACTCTGAAAATGCCTTTTATTGTGTTTTTCAATCTCTACAAATATATAGACATCATTAACTTATCATTATCATCATATCGTCTTTTACTATTATTTATATGAATTCTACCCCACATCCCCCGCTCCCTCACCTATTTACCTACTAGCAGACTACCACTATTTACAGACACTCCATAACCTGTCTAACCCATCAACATATTACCTGTCTATATACCCTCAAACCCAACTTCATATACTATTGAGGCATTGACACTAACACCTAACAAGCACCATAAATTTGGATACTGAGATTGAATACTTCGACCCACCAGTATTTGCTTGTCTACCATTAACCATTCTACCTGCCATTAAGTCCCCAACCCATCCTCCACCCCACCAAATACATTCTCTCTTACTGCTATTTATATTCATCATCGTCATTACCCCAGTGCCGCAAAGGCTCCCACCTATTGTGGGGTAAGGGGGGTTAGATGTACGCAATCCTAACCCTATACTAAAGCATAGAGAGACTGTTTCCGGATGACCCATAGTGAAATTTGCGTCGAAAATGGCTTCATAGCAAAGAAGCGCAGACAGTTCAGTGAGCCATTTCCCTTTATTCCATCATATTCCCAAGCCGAAAAATAGCGAGTCTTTGGCTTGCGAGTGATGGAAAATACTGTTCATATTTATATTATTTCGAAGAAAATAACTGGCCTTCAAATAATTTCACATTGCACACAAATACAAAATTCACTGGTTTTCAAATAGAAAAACAAAAAGAGCAAAAAAGAAGAGTTGAAATACTAAAGACAAAGAATGTGAAACATTTTGTATTAAATAAAAGGGACCTGATAGGCTGATAGTATTTTAACCCGGAAGTACCAAAACTACCCAATCGATTTGAAGACAAAATAGGAGGAAATGAGAGTATAAAGAGGGGAGAGAGAAAGTATGTAGCAGTAATGAGAACTACAGAAAGAGAACAACAAGTAAAGAATATATATGACACTCATAAATGAATAGAAAAGGTTCCTAATTCACCAGATGGCAGATATCATTATCTTTGTCAAGGTAAATATATATTAATGTGTCTCTGAGTGTCTCTCTCTATATCATATCACAAACGTCCTAATTACTAATTGAAAGTTCATAACTAGTAGCCTTACCTTGTTGATAACAAGGTCTGCACGCTTCACAAGTAGCAATAATGTCTCACCTGAAGCACTACTTAGCACAGGAACAAGAGACGGTAGGGTTGAGACTTCAAAATCATTTCTGTCCTGCAAAAAAATTTGAAGCCCGAAGTGCAACTAGCCAACTAGTTTGAATAAACTATTATAAGAAAATTAAAAGATAAACAGTCAAAGCAAAAGTGCATCAAAGAGCATGTTTATCTAAATGAACTGTCCAAAAGAAGACTGTAAGATGGGAAGGAAGAGTAATATACTCATCATGATTCGATGAAATCCAAAAGAGCGCAATTAAAAGCAAGCTTTTCAAATCATTTTTAACATGTTTTTTATTCCTTTTTGGCACAAAGGAGGTAATCTAGAAACAAATACCACAACAAAACTTTCAGGTCATATTGCCATTGTAAACGGGCTATATACCTGAGATTCTGCTATAGTCAGAACCATAGGTAGTATCATAGGTTGCATCACCAAATTTCTAAGTTCTGCACAGAGTGGAGGAAGAACCTGCACATATAATTGCAGACATACCAGTCAACCAGCTCCTCCCTCTATTAGACCAGAAGACATTAATATAATTAATGTATATAATGAAACTGAAACTCTCAGAAAGACAGAAACAATATCTAACCCATGAAGTATAACTCAACCTTTCTATATAAAAGTGGTCTTCTCTACCAAAATCCACAGCCCCTAAAAGGGAATTTGTTTATGTACCAGGCTACGAGCCTAAAACATTCCCTCATCAACTTAAATTGTGTACTTGATAATTACAACTGTAATTACAAATACACTGACATGAACTGAATGTTGAAAAAAGGATAGTAATAATAGGTGACGGCTAATTTCAAGTTCAGTGATGAAAAATACAAGTACAGAAACAAAGAAACCCTTACTCCTGACGCAAAGAGGGTGCCTCCTGTAGGACTAAATAGTTTGGTTTAATTATGTTTTTAACCCTACCTAATATTTTGCTTTTAACCCCTACGAAAGTGCCGAAATAGTTTTATGCAAAATACTTTTTCCTGTTGGTCCCTAACATTAGCTGCTTAGGCAGCTGATGGAATGAAATGGCATCTAAACCTGCAACCCAGATATGAAAAACGGCTCGAGTTGGCTTGCGGAACAGTTCAACTAACAAAACAAGGCTCCACAAGCCAACATATTGTTTTCATATTTGAGTCGGGGGTCAACCTGTCCTACTGTAAAGGTCAGTCCTAGACTAAAACCAGTGTTCTAATTGGCGCCCGGCATTACACGGGCAATAGCCAATAGCCTGGCATCTAGAGGCATGCGCGGGAATTAATCAACGCCTAAGTGAGGCCTAACATGTATGTATACAATTGTACACACACACACATATACGTAGTATATATTAATGAATATGATGAATAATACATACTACTTGGTACAATTATAAAAGTCATAGGGAAATACTTTTATTGCGAATTCCAATTGGCATTCACATGTGGGACTCATTTTGCAGTTTCAGATTTTTAGTGGGGTCTTGTAGTATAAGTAATAAAGTTATAACATGTGAACATTATTTAAAAAAGTGAATAAAAACATCTCTGTAAAATTACTATATTAGTTATGGTCAGACAGATCAGTGAGCAACTACTAGAAATTATAGTACTAACGAGCTCAACCCCCCAAAGAACTTAGCCCTTTATAGGCTAAATTATATGAGACTTTGTCCCGTTTATATAAAAATTACATACTTCAAGAATGAAAGTGTGCTCCAATTGTCAAGGAATTTAACCCAAATTAAGAAGCTCGAGATAGACTCCAAACTAAAGTGTAGGTGCATCAGCCTATTTGGCACTCCCACATCGGAAATTTATAGCCATTTAGCCCTCCCATTCTTTTGCATATTGGAGATTCCAACCAAGCTTATTTTGTGTACCATCAGGCAGCCTTATTTCGTGTGCGCACCCCCCCCCCCCCCCCCCCGCACATGCATATACATACATATGTATCTATAAACAATAATAAAAAGGCAAAATACACAATATGTGTATTTTACATGCATATGTAAACATGATTACTACTTATCTACCAATAAAGAAACAGAAAAAATAAGCTAAGAGGGGTTCACTGGATTATTAGATATTTGACTAGTACCAACCACAAAGTCAAACCAAAGTATGCATTTCCTTGCTACATGGGGTCAATTAGATGAACCAAGAAATGAAAAATTATATTTTTCCTATTTCCTGTATTGTTGAATGTGTGGAATTGAGGACCCATTTTTTCATGGGCTCAAGCTTTATTGGGAACATATTTCTCCTCATACTACTCACATAAAGCGGTGAGATATTTCATATGTTGTTTTCCTAGGGGATAGCTATGGGGAACTAAACCACTTCGTAATGAAGACAACTGCTGCATGTAACTCTTTGCCCACTTCTTACAAGGAAAAAATCTGGAAAGCATATTACTCGCAATAAAAGAATCTGCACATGATACATGTTTGAATCATTACACACAAAATCTGACCTTATAGCGAAGTACGCGAGAATCAAACTCTTTCCACATGTCAGATAATGCTTTTAGAAACTCAGACTTCTGCATGTTATCTCTTTCCTGTGAGTAATGAAAATTTTATTCTTAAAATCACAATCGTCCATTACATTACTTATAATTTGATAATCCAAGCATAGCTGATCAACTTATAATATCAATATCAAATATAAATACACATTCAATTCAATCAATTTACTTATTTATGATGCTTTTTGCCTAAATTTAATGATGCCAAGCATTATTCGTTTTAACTCCTAAATTACTATATTCCATATCCAGTCAAACCGAACAACTAACTCAGATTATATGAGACACAAATGTAGGCTTTGTTTGCAAACAATTAATTTAAGTGCTTTTGGCTTTTTTTTAAGAAAAAAGCACTTATTTTACCAAACAATACCAACTTTTACTTTCTCGGTTTTCGTGTGAAATCTACTCTTTACTTTTTCTATTACACAAAAAACACTTATTTTACCAAACACTACCAACTTTTACTACTAATCACTTTTTCACAAAAAGTGCTTTTATTTAAGCACAATCACTTGCAAACAGAGCCGTAATAATATATAATCTTGAATGGGTCATCACAATCAAGATCTTACAAGCATGTGATCTAGGAAGCGAAGGGCACGCAGCCTGGTGTCATCTCGAAAGAAGGATGAACCTGCAATAGATAAACGGAATAGTATTTGGTAAATGAAGTACAGAAGTAGTGGATCCATAATAAACCACCTTGTAGCACGTTAATCTCATTTCATGCAATTACCAAGGCGTTTCAGATGAGATCTAATATGTGTACGTGTGCATCCTAGTGTGTGTATTACACTATTACGCGTTCTATGCTTTTAACTTTTCACAGCCTGTACAATTGTCTCTCCTTTCAGAGATGAACGCATTCACACATGTCAACAATTCAACCCACAATGAACCTTGTGTTCGTAATTTTCAGACTTTAAAAAAAGATATTTTATTTCCAAGCAAAAAAAAGTATGTCTAGGCTTCTCAGGAATCACTTTTACCAAATCCCTCCCTCCCCCATATGTGTGGGAGCTTCAGCACCAGGCACTCTAACAATTTATTTCCTTGTTGTCTTTGAGGTAGCCTAGTAGCCAGGTAGGGGAGAGCAGAAAGCAGAGCCTGCCTATGGCCATAATATAAACCTTAAAGGCCAATAACACCATAGCTCACACAGAAATAAATCTACGACAGATATTTGATGTGCATGCCTTATTATCTAACAACCTTACCTGTAAAATCAATGGATGTTGGTCTAGTAGCCTCGTCTGTAGCCAGCATTCTTTGCAAGTCAGGAACTAGCTCTTTTGGTATGGAGGAGAAAGCCTCACTGGATAAGTAATTCAAACTATTCATGTACTGCAGAGAAGTTATGCAAGAACCCCTATTATCAAAAGAAATGATGGCGTGCAGACATGATAGATGAATACAAAGCTTGTTAAAGTAATAGTCCAATCAAAAGAAGGCAATTTGAAATGAGAAATGACTATTTATACAATTAAATTAGCAGTTGACTTGAGAAGAATTTTTGTAACAGTAGAAAATACCCCATCCTCCCCGAAGCATTCCCCTTTCTCTACAACAATGAGATCTATACCACTGCCCTACACCTCACTCATCATTGTGTGCTTTGACTGCTTTCTCCCAGCCATTTCAGTGGGAGAAGCTGTTCTAGGGAGCACCCGGCATAGGATATTGTCACTGTTTTTCTTTGGACAACTATTGTGTTGACTAACATTAGACACCAAATCTCTGACCACCTACTGCATCTATAGTAGGTATTATGTGATGATGAAGGAGGTGCCTTATGAGGATTTCAATGGAAGAGGCTTATCACGAAATATATATATAAACACCTGTAAATACACATGTGTACCTACTCTCTAGTGTATCTACCACAGCTCAACTGCACAAATACAATAAAGCATGTACATGCCAACATGGTATTTTATATTCAATTTGAGACAAGAGTCTATGTGACAGAGGAATGAGGTTGCAATTCATAATATCGTTGATTAATAGCCTCACAATAAGGGAGTGGGTTGTCAATATCCACATGTTAGAACCTGCAGATTATCTAACAGTTTACAGAAATTGATTCAAGAACTCAAAGCCTCAAAGGAAACTTTTATTGAATCTCCTTAGGCAACCTGGCCGAAGCCCCCAAATGAGCCGAAGCCCCCCAAAAGATAGAGCCAATGCTCTGATCTTCCCAGTACAGACAAATGTCTAAAACAGCCTCTCTTCTTATCAGCTTTCTTCTATTTATAGACCTACAGCTCACCCAACTATAGTTAATAGCTAATAACAGAAACGCTATTAACCAACTATTCTATTTATTATTATTTCTAAGTAGGTCCCTAACAATACTCCCCCCCTAAACATCCACCTTGCCCTCAAGGTGGGTGGTAGGAAATAGCACAGATCTTCTGCTTCTTCTTCTTCCTTGCTCCTCTTCCTTCCCAATACATAACTGCTAGCTGGACTATAAGCTTTAGTATTTGTTCCTTCAAATTCACTTCAATTTCATTTGTTGCAGTAGCCTCCAAGCATTCACTAGCTGCAATTGTTTCCTTGTTTTCACCTTCAAGGATTCTCACTTCTGGAGCTATCAATGTGCTGGATGCATATTTGATGTTATTCAAGTTACTCAACTCATTGTCATCAACAAGCCCTATGCAAATTTCTCCATTTACAATCCACTCTGTCAGGCAGTTAGTATCAATGATAGAATCATTTGTAGTAACAGAATTTGTCTTATACAACTTCAACAGCCAACATAAGTTGTGCACAACAATGCTACCATGTGATGTAAGATTTTCTAACTGCCAAGGACCCCAGTCTGGCCAGTTTTCTTCTTTCCTTTCCCTTATAAGAGAGCCAAAAACTCTTGCAGCCATAGAACGAACTTCAGGGACCACAACAAACTCCCTTATGTTATAAACCTGTCCTTCAACATTGCTGTCAAGAGCAAACTTATCTGTCCATTCCAATCCAAAATCTGAGGAGCTCCAAGATATAAGTTTGACAAGCTGGCGTTTAAAAAGACAGCATTCTTGACTAATTGAAACATCAGTTGAAATACAAAGTGACTGCTCATAGGTATCAATTTCTCTGTCATCCTTAGCTTTGTTTTTGGAAAGAAATCCAGTCAATTGCTCTAGGTAACGAATAGACACCCTAGGAAGCACGGAAACGTCAATCAGGGTGCAGTTTCCGTCCCGGAAACGTTTCGGAAACGCGAAACGCCGGGAAACGCCCGGAAACGGCTGGGAAACGTCTGGATACGTTTTTGAGCTCTTGGGCTTTTGGGCCGGGTTGGGAAAACGTTTCGGAAACGGGATTTGAGGTGGGAAGACGCGTTTCTTGTATATTAAAAAAAACAGGGTCGACAATCATTCGCGTTTCTTGTTTTTTAAAAAATACCTGCGGCGTTGCGACTTGCGTATCCTCTATCAGCAACACCGCAAGAGTACACCACTCAACGGGAAGAGCAAAGCCACAAGGGTAGATTCGGATTTCAGACTTCAAGGTTTAACTGTTGGTCTGCTGGACGAGTCGACGGCTGAAGTTGGTGACTGGTGTCATCTGCTGGTTCGCTGGAGTCTGGACATGTGGGTTTTCCGTATTTGGGTGAGAGGCTTCAGATTGATTGTTTCCAGTTAGTGGGTTAGTGCTTCCTATATTTATTTATCCTAAAGTTCAGAACGTACAAAGGTGAGTGGTTCTTTGAGAGTGTGTTTATTGAAACATTTACTTTTTCATTTATTTAGTATTTACTAGTATTATGCATGTACAATGTATTAATACCAAGGACATATGTTTGGTTTAATTATTTCGTGTTTGTTGGATGTAAATATTACCTATATTAGTAAAAATTTAATTTTTTGTTCGGCGTTTCCTTGCCGTACCCGTATCTTGATATTTTGAGTTTAGAGTTTCCCCGTCCCCGTTTCCGTCCCCGTTTCCGTTTCCGTATCCGTCCCGGTGCTACTTAGGACACACCACTTGCACATTGTACAATGATACAAAATCTGTCAGCAGTATTAATTTTACCATTTATTATCATCCCAGGATTGACCTCTGAATGAGTGAAAATTGATTCCATTCTGTGTTCTGTTAGATTAATTTCGGCAGGTTCTATCATGCTTTTCAGTAAAACAATGTCATCCACTGCTGTACTTTGAGTACACCCAACCTCATGCCACCCCACAACTTCCATAGAAATTCCCCACCAAAAACTCTCTGCTACTGCATATTTCCCAAAAGGAGAGTCCATTTTCAAAATGGTACAATCTTTGCTACTATGCAGCAACACATAAACCAAGCAACACTTTGAGGCTGGCAATACAAAGTCAGCTCCTTCACCAAGTACATCATTGGAGCCTAAGATCATTTTGTAAGGTTGAAACCTAGCTTCAGTTTCCAACCCCTTAACATTAGTCTGAGTAGTAGGATCCAGGGCCATACTGATTTTATCCAGCTGATATTCAAAAATAAACTCATCAGACCATTTCAGTCCATAATTAGAGGAGCCCCAATTTGCATGAAGTATCAAACTGCCCCCCTTAACTGCTATCCCAGGTTTGACATATGAGAGAGTGAAGAATGAACCTTCACTTGCACTAATCTGTGGGTCATTCTTCCTCAACTGTTTTGATAAGGCACCCTGGAATGACACATCACCTTCACCCCTAATTTCTTGCTTCTGTCTGTCAGCATCAATAACAGACTTCTCCATCATTCTTCTATAAGTAATTTTGTGAACCATGTTACACCTTTTCCATTGCTCACCTCTTTTCCAGAAAATCTTGCTCTCTGTTCCAGCAATTGCCATATGAGACGGTATGTCACAACCTACACCTCCATCTAGCACAATAAAACCCACTGTTGACAGCCCCCAAACTTTTTTAACTTCTGTTACTGCATCTGTGAAGACACCCGGAATGAGATCCGGGAAATTCTTGATGGGCTCGTACTTGAGAAAATGAGTAATTGCTCCAGCTTCATGTCCGAGATTAACTAAAGATTTCTCATAGCGTTCCTCTTCGCTATAGGTGTATGAATCTTCCGTGGACGATTTCTGCTGATTAACCAACTCCTGCTGCCATTCTGTGAACTCAGTTAGAGAGTTTGAACTGGGGTTTTCAGTTAGAGTCGAAGCCAGAGGACCAGAAGAATTTGGCAACTGCAATGAACCTTGGCTTTTCGAATTTATACAGCGACGTACCTTCCTCGATCGTCCTCGCCGGTGACGTTGTGGCCGCAGCTTGGTGCGCACTTCATCCAACTCAGTCCTCATCTCCTTGCTCTTCGCACGCTTCTCCTTCTCCATGTTTGAGCGCTTTTCCTTTTCTAGGGTTGAGTGCTTCTCTTTCTCCACTTTTCCGCTCTCAACCTTTTCTGCGAGCTTCCCCAATTTTCCGCGCCAATCCTTTCGCGAGTGCGAAACAGTTCGCGACTCCTCCAATCTGGTCCTTTCCTTCGCCCCATCCCTTTCTACCTTTTCTTTGCTCTTCGTATGCTTCTCCATCGCTATTTTTAGGCGCTCCACCTTTTCCGCGGTCTTCTCCATTTTTCCGCGCGAAGCCTTTTGTGAGTGCGAACCAGACGAAACAATTCGCGCTCGGTCTCTAGATCGCCTGCGAGGTTGGTGACCAATCTTGTTTATTCTACTCCACATCTCCGCAGCCCAATCATCGAAGGATTGTTGATTTTGTTCGATCTTTTCCTGATTCTTCTCCATCTGCGACAGACTTCTTTTAGCGACAGAGTTTCTACACCAGCGATCCTAACGCTCTGATACCAATGTTAGAACCTGCAGATTATCTAACAGTTTACAGAAATTGATTCAAGAACTCAAAGCCTCAAAGCCTCAAAGGCAACTTTTATTGAATCTCCTTAGGCAACCTGGCCGAAGCCCCCAAATGAGCCGAAGCCCCCCAAAAGATAGAGCCAATGCTCTGATCTTCCCAGTACAGACAAATGTCTAAAACAGCCTCTCTTCTTATCAGCTTTCTTCTATTTATAGACCTACAGCTCACCCAACTATAGTTAATAGCTAATAACAGAAACGCTATTAACCAACTATTCTATTTATTATTATTTTTAAGTAGGTCCCTAACACCACACATCAGATAGAGCTTTCTGCTTTCAGGCTTGAGTATACGGGTTGTTGTTCACTCATCGAAAGATATACCAATAGTGATTTGTATTTTGCAAACAACATATTAGTTCAGAGTTGAACAATACAAAAATAACTTCAGAATGTCCATAATAAAGTCCACAAAAGTAAAAACACTTCAAGTACAGGAATTAAAGGTAAATCATTAAAAGAAAACACTTCAGGACAATAAATACTTTCAGAATATAGTAGGAAAAACATTTCGTAAATGAAATAAAATAGAATACCATCTTGACATTGTTGTGACAGTCGAGCAAAGGCTTTCGAGCAATCAAATGGTAGGCAAGACACCCAAAACTGAAAATATCAGAGGAGAATCCAATAGAATTTGCCTTACTTCGAACCAATTCAGGAGCAGTGTAGTTCAATGATGGCTGAAGGGGTATAATAGAGTCTTCAGCATCATATTCCTAGAAAGTTCAAGACATTACTCATTCAACACTGGCCAAAATAATACTGACAAGAGCATAGGCGCCTTAGGCGGTACATAAAACGATGGTGTATCTACTTGATTCAAGTATATATAACATCATATTTTTACGAGAAAAGCTAAAACTGTTTTTATTACTCCCTTCGTCCCATTGGACTTTGCCAGCTTTACTTTTTTGTTTGTCCCAAAAACTTTGTCACTTTTCCTTTAAAGTGAACAATTTGTGGTTCTGTTTATTGATCTCTTCCGCACAAATCTCAACCACACAACTTTTACTTTTCTTATTTCACAACTAACACAAACTTGGCAATGTCCAACGGGACGAAGGTAATAAGAAATTTGTAAGAGTATTTAGTGTAAGTATGTAACTGTGTAAGCATTGAAGATGACAAATTGAGGCTTAAGTGCATAGTTTTATCACCGTTTACTCACAGCATAGTGGAATGACTGCATGTTGGATGGATCACTGGATGATTGAGCGGTTACTGCAAAACCAAACCCAGCAAGCTTCCAAGCTCCATTTGAGGTAATGAGGACAGTCTGCATGGTAACACCTTCCATAATCAGTGCTACAAACCCAGAGAGGACAATGCAAATATGAAACAACCAACCAAGAACAAGTCATACTGAATGGAGAAAGAGGCACTAATGGAGAGAACTTATATTATTAATCCCATGGTGAACATACTATAACCAAAATAATTATATGGAAAATACAACAACATTCAAGCCTTGGTCCCAAAAGAGTTTGGGGTCAACTAACATTAATCAACATATGACATCAGAGTTTAAAAGCTAAATAGAGAAAAGGAAGAAAAACAATAACAGATCAATCCTTCACACGTATATTCTCCCTCCACTTCGCTCTCTCCAAATTCACTCTCATCTAACCCAAAAAGTGTCATATCATTCCTGACCACTCTGATCCGCGTGTGTTTGGGTCGTCCTCTCCTTTTCCTCCCTACCTCTTCTCTCCACCTCTCAACTCGTCTAACAGGTGCTTCACTCTGTCTTCTACACACATGGGCAAACCACCACAACCAAGTCTCTAGCATCTTATCTTCAATAGGTGCCGCTTTCACCTTTTGTCGGATTGTCTCATTCATCAAACAATCTTTTCTAATATGCTCACACATCCAACACAACATTTGCATCTCAGTCACACTAATCTTTTGAATGTGACATTGTTTTACCCATTCTTCTAAAACTCGTTACGCGCTATTCGTGCACTTGAGGAGCGCTAGCGCATAGGCGGCGACTAGGCTGACTTTTTAACCAAGTAGGCTGATTAGTCCTCTACAGTTAAGGCTGCCTATGTGTCAATTAATTGGACCGACTAGGCTGATTTTAGAACAATGGTTTCACTTTCCAACACTTTACGCCATACAATAATTCAGGCTTGATTGTTGTTGGATAAAACTTATGCTTCAGTCTAGTCGGCATACCTAGATCGCATAGAATATGCCCAAGAAATTATTCTCAAAATGCATTAAGCACTTCGACAAAGAGAAGTAAAAGGTATTAAGCGGCACCACACTCCTTATTCATTGATCATAACAAGTCAACCTACAAAACTATGAACTTCGAAAGAAGTTTCAGAACATAAGTGAAGCACACCTGCACCTCATTTGCTCATCAAATTACCTATATGTCAAAAACATTGACATCTGTTGGAAAAAAGAACTGCCAGAATAAGAACCCTCTTCCCACAAGTTGGTAACCAAGGTCCGAGATATAGCTGGATGATCACTGCGAACTAAATTTACAAATAATCACCGAGACATCCAGTTTTGGAACAATCACTTGCACCACTAATGATATAAGGATGGCATCAATCCCATCATCACCACCTTAATCCCAACTATGTCAAGGTTTGCAACATGAAATTTCATTTCATCATTCTCTCTTTGGAAGGTTGTGGCACCAAGGGCATCCATTTAGGGGTGGGCATGGTTGGTTAATGGGGTTTTGGTTAACCGAGAAATCAACTACTATATTTTTTATATCAACACCCGTACCATAACTACGGTTAACCAAAGCTTCGGTTAACCACCAATTGGTTAACCAAAAAGCCATAAAACCACAAAATATTGATAGTAAAATCAAATATGAATATAATAGAAACTTCCCAAGAAAATGCAGGAATTTAAAAAGGGGGAATTTAATTAAAATATCCCAAACTTTGAAGGGATGTGAAGTAAACACCCCATACTTGTATATGTAATTTCAATATCCAAACTTTATATAAAGAGTTATGTTAGCACCATGAGCATATAAGTTTCACCATAAATAATATGAACATAAATTTTAAATTAATATATGACCATGGTGCTAACATAACTTTTTATGTAAAGTTTGGGGTATTTAAATTACACATTTACACATGCAAGTTTGGAGTACTTAACTCACACCCCTTCAAAGTTTGAGGTATTTGAATTATTTTTCCATTTAAAAAAGGAAAAATTGACAAGAATAATCCCACCTTTCACTGGTCTTTTCATAATAATCCCACCTTTACGTAATCCAAGAATAATCCCACCTTTGCACCTCATTTTCTTTCATTGGACCCTGACCTATTGATGACCTACAAAGGTGGGATTATTTATATAAGATTTTCAAAAAAAGGGTCCAATGAGAGAAGATGAGGTGCAAAGGTGGGATTATTCTGGAATTATGTAAAGGTGGGATTATTATGAGAAGACCAGTGAAAGGTGGAATTATTCTTATCAATTTTTCCTTTAAAAAATATATTACTATATAATAATGCAAACTTAACAAGATGCCGTATGTAAAATCTAAAATACTGGAATTTCTCTAAAACTTTATCCATATTTTGGTATCAATCACATTTATCTAAACTTTATCCATAGCAAAGTCAATATCTATTATACTATAATTGAGTAAGCTGATACATTCACATTACCATATCCAGCAAATATATACTCTGTTAAATTTGTGTACGAGTTAAGTTAGATTAATAAGATTAATAATGTGCTCCGTATTTAATACTCCAGTACCAAAGTTATTTGAACACTTAAGAATTCATGAAGTCCTATTATTATTCTACAATAAAAAGCAGGCAAGCTGTTTCAGGTAGTTTTATTTGAAATATACGACCAACGACCTTAGCTTACTGGTTATATATGAAGCATGTATTATTTGCAAAGCTGGTTTGCGGTTAACTGGCAATAGCTTATTTTCAAACCGTCCGTGAACCGTTTTTTCCTTGCGGTCGGTTAACCGTACCATGATTTAAATAAAATTGGTTCGGTTAACTGAAAAAAATAACGGTTTACCGGTTTTTCAGTATGGTTAAACGGTTACGGGTTTTTGTGCCCACCTCTACATCCATTGTTAAATATAGACACTCTGTTATGTGCAATAATTCACAGTACGTGCTAAATGTTAACTACTAACTAGTTTTAGGCAATTAATTGGTTATCATCATACTGACTAAATCTGTCATCATCATAGATTCATAGGTTATTTCAATATTTCCATTTGCATGAAACAAATCATGAACCGGCGATGAGTTAAGATAGTTGCTATAGTAATGCTCCGTTCAAAATTGCAAAGAGGCTTAGAAAAAAAAAACGAGAAAACTTTAATATAAAACAACAAATCCAATGTAAAACAACCACTGAAATAGAATTCCCCTTAGGATAATGTTTTTGATGATTAACACTTCTACAGTTCATTTATAAACTTATAACACAAATATTTGCAATCCAAATTTCAAGGGAAAAGAGGAAAGGAATCAAATAATAATGGAACCTATGCCTGGTAATGACTACACTTGAAAGACATAAATATAAATGCATACTCATGCAAAAAAAGAGGGAGGGGGATATGACCTCGGGTGATATACTCCGATGAACCAGATGGGCATTGTTGTGAAGGAAATCCAAGGTCTCTGCCATCTGAAGCAAGCCATGTTTCACCTCTAACAATCCCATTTCCTGCATCATGAATGTCCATAGCAACCACCTTAAACAAGATGTTCTTCTAAATGAACTTTCAGAATGCAAATTTGATGTGTGCGAAATAGTGAGTACACTGATTGAATAATGTACAGACTGAATGACAGATTGAATAATTTAACAATTTTGAAGTCCAATGGCATTGAATAAAATGCAGAGTGGAGAGATACCACTTGCAAAAACTAATTTTAAACTGAAATTCTTCATAGCTAAAACTGAGTGAAGAAGACTTGAAAAATCATAAATCCAGACGAACAAAAAAATAATAAGATGTCTAGTAGACTAGTATGAGGACGAAACAACTGAAAAAGTTAGACATTACTATTCCTTTGAGCTCCTTGGACGCTTTCTCAATGTTATCCATATTTCCCAGCACATTTGCAGCGGAAGCAAATAACGGCTCAGTTACCATCGCCATGGAATTCTTAGTCTCATCGAGGGCCTGAACGACATGCACCACTCCAGGGTGCCTCAACCGAACAAGTCGTGCAGCATCTGCCCGTACCATATCAAGGAAAGCATCCTCAGCCGTCTTTGAGAGCCCAGAACGCTGTCTCGCTTCAGAAAGAGCACGCTTATCGAGAACCCACACGCATACATTAGGATAAACCGAGTGTCCATCTCGGGCCTTGGCGGAGTACAGCTTCCAGACAAGGCCAGGTCCGGCTGACCCGATCTGATCAATGAGATCAAAGTCTTGCAAGGCCCGTGGTCCGGTGACCTCCTGTACGGTAGTCTGGACGGTTTTCTCGATCACAGCCGACGCCTTGGCCAGTGCTTCGGTAAAGGTTTTCTTCATGTTGAGGGACATGACAGGAATTACTGAGTTTCAATGGGGGTAATTCCAGATTTCCACGTACTTTATTAGATTAATAAGCCGGAGGTGGTGGTGGAGGAGCGGAAGGATCGAATTGACGAGAGGGAAGAACAGATGATTCAGATCCCAGCTCCCTCTCAGTCTCTTTGAGAAAGACTATTATGGTCTTTCCATTCCAAATCGGTTAAAGTAAACTCATCAAGTTTATTTTACATTTACAACAAGTAATACAAAGAGAAAGATGTACTCCTTAGTCTCCTTAGGGGTGTTTGGATCCGATTCTTAAAACTGTTTTTGCTCTTTCAGGGAGCAGAAACAGAAGCTGGAGTGTTTGGGTGAAAGTGCGGAAGTGATTCTGATATTCAAATTTACTCCTAGAATTAGTTTTTTAGAAGTTAGGGGTAACCAGCTTCTGAAAACTGATTCTGATTCTGCTTCAACTTTAAAAAAGAAGCAGAATCAGAATCAGTTCCAAACACCCCTTACTTGGTCCACACACTCTTATGAGTTAATACCCTTTACATAATTGTATTAAGAGAAGTTTCATTTTTTTCGCTCATTGCCGCCGTCATTCCATCCACAGGATCCCGTTTGAATCTATGATTGTGTTGTTTCATTTTCGCTTAAACTCACTCCGTTTTTCATTTAGCAATATGAAGACTTCATCTCTCTCCCCACAAGTTGAGCAACCGTATTATTATTGCCACTTCAATCTCACATAGGTTCATTGCCCAAAGCCTTCATCTTTCTCCCCAACCAAATCGACCAGTCGTAGTCTCATCGTCGACTTCAATATCTTACTCGGTACAGATTGCCGCACTCGATTGATGAAGACCTTCATTGCCGAGTTCAATATCTCATCGTCGACTTCAATATCTCAGCGCTGAGTTCAACATCTCATCGCTGGCTTCATTTTCAGAGGCCTTCATCTCTCTCCAAACAATCAATCATGCGTATATGCTAAAATTGTAGAGGAATCAACATGTCCAGTATGGAAGGAAATCATCTCTCTATCCAAACAATCAATCACCCGTAGATGCCGAAGTTGCATGGAGAGGAGGGCCAATACTATCTATTCAAATTGATCCTCATCCCCCCCCCCCCCCCCCTCCTCACAAAAATAAATGAATTGAAGAAGAGGATTGCCAAAATACAACTTCTAATCTCTCTACACTTCACATTGTTGATGAGGCACTGTTCGGATTTTTATTAATTAATTTTATCAATTCTATTTTCTAAATCTCATTTTCTATGATTCAATCAATGATTGCTTTTCTGTTTTGATTAGTTTTTGGCAATCATATGATGTTAATAAGTTTTACAAAAATGGGATCTTTTTTAAATTGGTTAAATTTGCATACATTGATTTTTTATCAAGCCATTGGACATATCAATTGAGATTTAACACCATTCTTGATCAAAATTTTAACATATTTTTACTATCCGATGTTGTTTTCGTTGAGTTTTTATTAATTAAAGTTTTTCATCAATCTTCTACTCTGCAAATTAGCTCTTTGATATTTGGTTAGGTATTTAAACAAGCACTTGAAAGATGTGGAAGAGGAAAGCTAGAAAGAACAATTTTCCTTTTGAGGAAAATAAAATTAATTAGCATTAATAAAATCATTGTTCAATACATCCGAGATGACCAAAGGGGGAATTGAAAAACCATGAGTCATCCTATTCGCTGATTGTTTAACGTGAGAGAAAGAGATATCCATTAAGCATGACCGAATGTCTCGAATATCAACAGCTACCGAACCTGCCATAGAAACGCTTGTCCCTCTCAGAATTTCCGAAATAGCTCGAGCACCATCAGATTCAACATCCATGAACAAATATCCAATTGAAATTAGTATATTTTGAATTGATAGAGAAGTTATGATGCTTACCCTCTAACACAGCTTATTAATGGTAATAAAAGTCTGGTTTTAAGCTTGATATGCTGAAGCCAAAAAAAAGTAATACTGACGTGGACTTTGTCACAGTGCGTCAAAATCATATTCAATACTAACACTTATACGTAGTATAGGTGAAGTAGAGTTCGTATCCACAGGGAAAGGAATAAGTCTCTTTTTATGTAACTAGTAAATAAAGGGGGGTTTTGATTGAGTGATTTAATTAATTTAAACACGAAGATGAACGACTTATATGTTATTTAATTCAAGAATAAAAGGGACTTGGCATTGCTACTTTCCACTTGTTGATATATTTTAGTCGATCATTTTTATATCTATAACTTATCTCCTCTCGAATACTCAATCGAGGAGTATATCCAATTCATCGAGGGTAGTTATTGACAACGACCATTCATTAATAACCCTTACTATTAGTCAAGTATAGAACAACGCCATATACCGACTTGATAGTAGCATTTAATCTCTTAACTCCTTGATGAAATCAATTGAGATTGATAACCTCTACACAACGGTTTTGGTTTAACCAACAAAATTAATCCCTCTTAAGTTTATTAACCACGACCGTGCATTAATAAACCGAAGTTACTTGTGAAACTATCAACGATTAACCATCGGTTCGTTGATTGTTTCTAGTAATAATTAATATATGAAACAAAACTAGTTGATCATTTAAGTAATGTTCAAAATATTAATATGAAATATGAATAGGAATTAATTAATACTCAAGGAAGAATATTAAAGAAGATGAATCCTACTATAGTTAATATCAAGATGTTAACTAATTGTCATCTTAGTAACACTCCCCAATATTAACATAGAGGAAGAAATGGCTATTACTAAGAACAATGTCAAGATGTTAACTAATTTTCATCTTAGTAACACTTCCCAACATTGATATAGAAATAATATTTAAAAGAAGACTTAATATTCAAGGAAAAAAGTTAAGAAAATAACTCACAACTTTAATAATCAACAAGCTTCAAGAGCTAAACATTGGAGACTAAAAGAAATGGAAGTTTAGCTCCTCATTTGGAGACTAAACATGCTAGAAAAATATAAAGAAATGCTATTCTAAACTGAGCTTAAGAGTATCAAGGAATTGGTGTGCAATTGTGAAGGGAAGGGTGTGTATTTATAGGCTTTTTGGGAGTGCAGTTCGGGTACCCGATCGAGTATATATAGGGTACCCGATCGGGTATGTGTAAAAAGTGTAGTTTTGAGGCATACTCGATCGATTTCAGAGTGCAAATGCAAGGCATACTCGATCGGGTGTGTCGGTGTACCCGATCGGGTATGACAACTGATCGTGGCCAAATCTTCCCCTGCACACCCCTTTGTCTCCTGGTTGATCTGATTGAAAGTCCAGTTGGTACCCGATCGAGTATATGGTATACTCGACCGGGTACAGGTCAAAAATCAGGATTTTGCCTCCTTTTTGTCTTGTACTCTTGCACCTTCTTTCACCAATGATTATTTGATTGATCTTGGACCTGTTTAAGCTCAGAATAAACCTAATCTAAATATATTATAGCTATTTTACAAACATAACTATTACACCAAAAGTGTGTAATTTCCGAAATATTAAACAACCAAAACTAACTAAAAACGTCAACATACGCACGGAAATTACACGCGTATCAAATAGTATTGTTCATCTTCTTAGTATGTTAGCAAAACCCCTAAGTCTCCAATCATTAGGGATGGACATTAAAGATTTGAGTCAATTTTTGTGTTTGAAACTGATATTTTTGAATCATACTACCAAAGGAGAATAAGTGATTATTTGAAATATTCTTTGTAAAGCAGTAATCTTAAACCGGTATTGAAACTGATACTCTGATTCTTTGTAAACCGAAGTCATTCTTTAATTCTTTATTGTGATTATTATTAGTTGAGTAGTTGTGAAGAATAGAGTGTAGATATGTATGCCTACGTTCTCATTTGTAGTTTTAGATTTATGTTTCAGTGATTACAAATTTACACGATTAAATTTTTTAATTCATCAATGATGAAAAGGCTTTTGTTAACCAACATTCTGTCTATATATGATGATAACTTATAAACAAGATGGTTTGAGATAGATCTTTTCGGTGTCTATGATAGGAACTTATAAACAAGATGGTTTTTTCAAGTTTAAGATAGATCTTTCGCAATGCTAATTTTATTAATAATTTAGTTACGACTTAGGTTATCTCTCCTAAGTGGATTCATTCTTTTGTTGGTCCCGAGGTAGTTGTTTTATAGATATGCAATTCGAAGTTACATATATGAATTCATTTATATGGTTTAGAATAGATGAAGAATATTATCTCTAATTGACATTCTTAAAATCTTCCATGTGGCATTCCTGTAAAGAAAGCTAACCAAATTCGCCATGCTTTTTCAGAAATCAAAAAGGGAGGGCAAAGTATTATGTATGGTAAACTACTAAACTCTTTAACTTTGTTCTGAATTGTTAATATTAGTCTTAGTTTTATAACCCCCCAACTCTGATGTATTACTTAAATAGGTTAAAGTGTTAATGTTAGTCTTAATTTTATAAATTAATATGGTAAATGTTAGTTTGCAATCCAAGCTCGGTCGGCCGCATCAATTTTGTCTCAAAACTTCTTTGACATAGAACTTTCTTTGAATCTCCGGATTTTCGGAGTTTAAGACTTCGGATCAGAACTCATGGGTCATATTCATCATACTGATAATATGATGCTACTCTTTGTCTTCCCTCGCACCAGAAGCTTATATGTTGATTATACATAGACCTTAGACATACCTGTTGAAAAAATCTAACAAAAATTGGATAATCATATCTTTCTTATCCGAATGTAAATGTATTTTCAAATTCTTTTGCTATAATTGTTGAGCAAATTCTTTTCTTTATTCTGTGTAATATAGTTTAAGAATGTGTGAATTGAAATCACGCCATTATCCTAATTTTCTGTTTTCAAGATGCATTATGGGCTGCAGTATTAGTTTCAAATAACTAATTCAACATTTTTTTTAGATAAACACATATTAACTTGAAAAATATGATTATAAACCGTTTCATTTGAGCTTAGAATAAGTGTGTAAAAACTATATTGCTATGTGTACCTCTTATTAACCACAAATGATTAACTAATTTCCTTTTTCCAATTTCGAAGTTTTTTTTTAATATTATCCCTATACTATATTATACACATAGGTTTAAAATCGCTCGGTGAATCTATGTGACGTGATGCACTTCAGATGGCCTAATTTTTATGCACTCCAAT